AGCAGCAGCAGCAGCAGCAGCAGTGCTGAATCCGCCCCCGCCTGACTGGTACCGGGACACTGGGTTGTTTGGTGAGGAAATAAAAGTGTGTGTGTTTGTTTGAAATGTATCCAAACTGTGACAATGCTCAATTGGGCAGTGTGTTTGGAGTGGAGGAGGCTCACTGGCTCACTCACTGACTTGTGAGGGCCATTTAGCAGCAACTGCATCAGCAGCTATTTATTGCCTGCTGTTGACTGCTGACAACATTGGCCGATGGACAATGGTCAGCACTTGCCTCCCTCACTTTAGCAATCGTAGTCTTTATTAGCGCCTCAATTATTTCTCCCCGAGGATTCACTCTCATCCCTAGGACCGACTGTTTGCCTGCCTCGTGTCTTCCTAGACCGGCCAGTGTGCACATACAAATGGTCTCTAAATGAGCGGCGGCGAGGCAATAAACTAAAATCACGTGCTGACGACTGATCTCACTAACTGTGACTGTGACTTTCACTTTCTCTGATTGATAATCTCTAATTGAAAACATCACTTTCTCCCTTCTGCTGGGGCACCAGGATTCTGGAGATGCGCAAGGAGAAGAGCCGCGATGCGGCCCGATCTCGCCGCGGCAAGGAGAACCACGAGTTCTACGAACTGGCCAAGATGCTCCCGCTCCCGGCCGCCATCACTTCGCAACTAGGTAAGTCTGTCTTGTCTACTGATAACCAGTTCTTTCCACTAACCATTCTTTTCTTCCCTCAGACAAGGCCTCCATCATTCGACTGACCATCAGCTACCTGAAGCTGCGCGAGTTTTCCCAGCTGGGCGACCCCTCCTGGAGCAATGCCCTCAGCAGCCTCAATGCGCTCAAGTGCAAAGCCAGTAAGTCAGAACTCATTTTTTTCTGGTACTATTTTGCCAAATCTGAGGGAACAAAAAAATGTGAGCTGGTCGGAAATGAGCTGGTCGTCCGTCTTTCGCCTCAGCTATCACCCTGCTTCCCTTTCGCTTCACTTGTCTTCGATTTCATCATCATCCCGTATTTGTTCTTTAGCAGTAGCTCCGTTTTAGCCTTAATTAGCTTCTGTCTGGCGGCGGCGGCGGCCTGTCCCGGCGCCGATGATTAATTACCTATTAATCGAAGCGTGCCTAATAGATCTGTCTGGGGAAAAGAAGAAGACGGGAGCTATATGGCAATAACGGCTATGTGACTTATTGGCACTGTTATTGGCTGTGCACACTGTCACCACTCTCTGACTGCTTAATCAAAGTTTAATTTACTTTAAACTTAATTTTGTGTAAGCAATCACCGCACAGTGTGGGGCGTGTGGCAGGCGTCTGACTGAGGACCCTCCACTACTCTATTCTCCGAGGTCATTTACAAATTCATATCGTGTGTCGGTGTGAAATGGCCACCCCAATTTGAAATGAATTTATGGGCGCGCATTTAAATCTAAGATCAGCCTGCTGCAGTCAGTGCAGTGCAGCTTGTCTGCCTTAATCATTTAAGCTCGCCTCAGTGCACAGCAGTGCTGGTAGCGACGAATGGACTCATTAATAAGAGAAGTGAACGATGGACACTTTGCTGCAGCTCCACTACACGACCGCCTGTGTATGTGGTCGTGTAGGCGAGTGGAAGGAGAAGAACACTGTTTCGATGTTGTGGTGGCAATGGAGGCGTGAAGAGAAGGAAGAGAAGGAAGAGAAGGAAGGGATGCACAAGGGCAAGGGATCACTCTGATTATGATTGATAGACGACGGCCGATGAGGAGGGATAAAGCGAGAGAGCCAGTGAGCGAGTGCCCGTGTGCCCGCTCGCTCTGCCGAGCTGTTGACAATTGTCCGCACTGTGATCGGTAATCGAGTTATGGACGCATCACTGCAGCCAGAGCAAGGCAGAGAGAGCAAGGCCAAAAGTGAAGTCAGCCAGTGGCTATTGTTGTTTGCCGGGCTCATAGGTGCTACTGCTGCTGCTGAGCAAATACTACCCATTGGAGCCTTCACGAGCACTGTGCACTGTGCTAATCGAGGAGCAGGTCATTACTGACTACTAGCCACCGAGACAGACCACCGAGACAAGCCGATATATTCTCATTACAAGTAGTAGTGGTAGTCAGGCTTACTGAGGTAATCACATCGACAAACAAGTGTTGAAAGATGCTGGTGATCAGTGCTGGTGGTGGTGGGCACCTCAAAGAGTGGTGGACACTTGCTTTGGCTTGGGTTTAATCAAGTCCTTCCTCCTCACACACTCTGCACTTGTCACATTGCTTTTTTGTCACTGCTGATTGCAATCAGCATTCAGTTGTCTGTTTTTTTTCTGATTCGCACTCACCGGAAGCACACGACGAAGGACACTCTTGACAAAGCAGCAGCAGCTCTGACTCATGAGGGTGCACAGCAAAGCAAGCCCAATTCCTCTTTTATGCTGGCTCTAGTCTCAATTTCCGGCGACCGGCAAACATTCCGCAAATTGACTTGTTGGCAGTGAAGACAGCAGCCGTTTCAATTGTCGAGCAATCATCACAGAGTCTGCTTTCATCAAATTACCGTCCAATTAGATCTGTCTGATTCTCAATTGACAATTTTCTTTTTATTCTCTCTTTCTCTCTCTCTCTTTTAATTCCACAGACACGAACGTGTTTGAGAGTCACCAAGGGACGCACATTCTGCAGTCGCTGGACGGCTTTGCCTTTGCTCTCGGCCAGGACGGCCGCTTCCTCTACATCTCCGAGACGGTTTCCATCTACTTGGGCCTTAGTCAGGTGAGTCATCAGGGGGAAGTAATACTGTCATCCAAAATAACCGAAATGATTGTGCAGGTGGAGATGACAGGCTCAAGTATCTTCGATTACACTCACCAGCAGGACCACGCTGAGCTGGCAGAGCAGCTGGGTAAGTACTTGTAAGATCAAAAGCAGCTTCTCAACAATAACAACCACTTTCCATTCAGGCCTGAGCAGTCAAGTGGGCTCCAGTGGCAGCGGTCATCACCCCCATCACCCTCCTCAAGCTCACTCCTCGCATTCATCTCACTCCCATCATTCCCATCACCACCACCACAGCACCTCGTCCCCTCTGCCACCGGGCAGCGTCTCCTCGTCTGCCTCCAACGAATCGGACAGTACTAGCCATCACCACCAGTACGGCAACGGAGTGGGCACCATATGCGTGTCCGGAGCGGGTGACACCCTGGAGCGGCAGTTCTGCATGCGCATGAAGTCGACGCTGACCAAAAGAGGGTGTCAGCACTTCAAGTCCAGTGGATATCGGGTGGTGCACATTGTCGCCCACCTCAGACCGGAGATGATCAGCAGGAGGCAGCAGCAACTTCAGTCCTCCTCGGCGACCTCCACCTCCTCATCCTCTGCTGCCTCTGCCTCTGCGAACACCAAAATCATCGGTCTGGTGGCCATTGCCATTGCCCTGCCGCCGCCCTCCATCAATGAGCTCCGCCTGGAGCCAGACATGTTCGTCACCAGGCACAGCTTGGACTTTAAGATTATCCACTGCGAACAGAGGTACGTGATGATGAGAACATACAGTTTTCAGTACCTAACTTGAATTTATCTTTTACTTCAGAGTGACCGATCTGCTGAACTACAGTCCGGATGAACTAGTCGGCCGGAGCATCTACTCGCTGATTCACGGCCAGGACGTGGTCCTCCTCAAGAAGTGCCACCTCGACTGTATGTGTTTCCACACTTCTAGCATTGACTATAAGCTAACTTTCTTTTTTATTGCAGTGATCCACAAGGGCCAGGCCATGTCGGGCTACTACCGAGTGGTGAACAAGACCGGTGGCTACACNAGCAGCAATTCACCGGCCAGTGCCGCCAATGTCAATGGAGCGGCCAAGGCGGCGGCAGCGGCTGCTGCTGCTGGCACTTCTAATGCTGGTGGCAGGGCAACTCCCGTTTCTTGTTCAGGTGGTGGTGCCAGCACGCCTATTCCCGGCAATGCGACGCCCAATTCGGTGGCAGGAGGAAATGGTGGCAGTAGTGGTGGTGGTAGTGGTGCTCACGATGACCAAGATCAAAGTGTGATCTGCGTCAATTACGTGCTAAGGTGAGTGAACTTTTGTTACCATTTGTCCTCCTCTAATCGAATCCTTTCTCTTCACGTAGTGCAATCGAGTACACGAACGTCATCATGGACGCCTGTCAGCTGGGCAGTGGCAAGCTGGCGATGCTCAGCCATGCAGCTGGACCACTGAGCAGCTGCACCACCTCCAATTCATCCTCTTCCAATTCCAACTCGTCCTCATCAGTGTCCACAAATCGTGCCAGTAGTCCGGGCAAGGCTGCACACGGCTTGTCGGCTAGGTCTGCGGCACTGCAGCTGAAGAAGCAACAACAACAACAGCAACAGCAGCAATCCCATCACAGCTCGAGCACTCCTTCTCCAGAAAGGAAACTGCAGCTGAACAGCTCGCCCTCTCACCAGCACAGCAGTGCCAACAACAACAACAACTCTCGAAGTCCTCGAATAGTGCAACAGCAGTGTCACTCGCCACTGGACCACCGGCTAGGGCCCGAACAGCAGCAGGGCAATCCAAACAGCAATGGCAGTGGTCACCTGAAGCGACGTCGTCTCAACTCTAGTCCAGTGCGACCGTGGAAGTCGCCCTCCCCACCTCCTCATGTACCCTCCTCCTCCTCATCTGCGACGACCGCCGGTTCTTCGGTTCCCTCTGCGACGACCACCGACTCTGCAGTCTCTCTTCACCTGAACGTCAATGGCGGCAGTCCGGGCCCAGTCAGCAATGGCCTCAACAGCATCAACAACAACAGCAATAACAATAGTCAGCACCTTCTGCGGCACATTTCGGTGATTCGAGAGACGCCCGCTCCTCAGGCAGCGGCGGCCATTCTCAAACCGCAGGCAGTGATGACGGCTGCAGCTGCTGCCGCTGCCGTCGCCCCTTACCATCACCATCATCCAGTTCATCATCATCCGCCTCCTCCTCCTCATTCTCATCCGCACCATCCTGCGCACAGCACTGCCGTGGCGGCGGCAGCCCACCACGCCCATCACTACCATCACCTGGTGGACCAGTACGCCGCTGCCAATGAGGTAAAGT